AACCAACAATTGATGAGTCAGATTACTTATGATCTACATCAAAGAATTGTAAAACCTAATATACTTGTAAGGCCCTATGCTACTCGGAAATGGGGAGGGGGAGCAGAGAAATCTTACATTACTCTAGAAGGTGTAAGGAAGACAGGAAGTATAACCTATCAGGATCATAACTGGTAACTCATAGATAACAGACTCGAATCAGCATTAGACAATGGCAAAAACTACAAAGGCATATGGGGGGAATCAGGAGCGATCCTGACAATCTCTTAACAGGAAGTAATATGCATAGAGCAGAGGGGGTCCCAAAGTGGAGCAGGCAGACAGGAGGAGGCTTGTATCCCAACCCTGAAGACTCACAGATCCTCACCAAGGACTATCAGTATGAACACCGAGGACTACATCCCAACTGCCAAGGATACCACGGGGAATTGGAGTGCCTTTGGAGGCCAAGAACTCTGAGGTCACCAAGCCCCATTTGGATCTCCCACATGGGATGGAAGAAGCCCAAATCCTGCCTTGCAGGATCCAAGGTCATCGGAACGAAAACCAAGAACACTGAGCAATCCGCAGAAACAGAACAGTAAAATTCCTTTGGAACTAGGGAGAGGAGCTTTCTGTGGTCCTTGCCTGGGTCTGACTTTGGGTCCCCACCCTCTCTGGCAACGACCATCAGGATCGCTCTGGAAACCCCTCAAAACAAACAAACAAGTAAACAACAACAACAAAACTAGAATAGAAAGAGAAAAACAAGGAAAGCTTAGACCCAAACAGGAAACAGTCAGCGGGGATGCACTTATAATTCACTGGGTGGGACACAAAGATTAGTTACTCCTCACTGGGGTATTGAAGATTTCTCTGCACACCCCTCCTAAAACTGTTCACGTAAACTGCTGACATATGTCTTGTTAGAGTTATAGAGTCAGACTACCCGAAAAACTGCCAGGTTCAGCAAAATCATGCTTCAACGCTATAAACTGCTAAATACTAAAATTAAAATAGACATGAGACAGCTGAATAGTAAACTATAGCCATTTTAAGGTGTATAGAAACCAGTTGTATATAAACTAATAATTGAAATGTCAATGTAGAAGTCATGGGATGTGGTTCAGAACTTGCAATCTATTTTTTTTTCTCTTTTAACATATTGGTTACTCAATACCAATACCATGTAAACTAATTCCATAGCGTTGTAAATTGTTACTGATGTAATGTCAGGGCTTTTAATTGATCGGGATGATACTCTGCCAGCTCTATCTTCAGACCAGAGATGGTCTCCCCAAGAAACCGTTGAACTTATCTGGACAATAGACGCTGGACTTTATACTTGGTAGATGCTTGCAATGAAAGAATCTCAACTGAATTTGAACTGTGGTAATGAAACAAGATGGAGGAACCCACCACGGGAGGGTGGGGGGTTTGGGGAGGATGGTTTGTTGTTTATTTGTTTGTTTGCTTGTTTTGAGGGTTTCCGGAGCGATCCTGATGGTCATTGCCAGAGAGGGTGGGGACCCAAAGTCAGACCCAGGCAAGGACCAGACCATGCTAAATGTATGCCAGGGAATCCCAATGCCTATAAAACTGTGTCACATAACGCAATGTAATCAATAATAATAATAATAAAGGAAATGTAAAAAAAATGCATATGATAAGTAACAGCAAAGCAGTATGGGAAGAGTGACAAGAGCAGATGATAATGACCAGGAGGATTCAAGCCAAGTCAATTTAAAATAGTTCAATAGCGAAGCAAATGTGATGACAAAAACACCATCAGTGAACCACAGCTTCTCTAATACTATCAAGTAATACTGGAAAGAACAAATCTGAAGGGCCCGGCAGCATGGCCTAATGGCTAAAGTCCTTGCCTTGAATGTGCCAGGATCCCATAAAGTTCTAATCCCGGCAGCCCCACTTTCCATTCAGCTTCCTGCTTGTAGCCCGGGAAAGCAGTCCAGGACAGCCCAAAGCCTTGGGACTCTGCACCTGTGTGGGAGACCTGGAAGAGGCTCCTGGCTTCGGATCGGCATAGCATCGGCTGTTGTGCTCACTTGGGGAGTGAATCATTGGACGGAAGATCTTCCTCTCTGTCTCTCTTTCTCACTGTATATCTGACTTTGCAATAAAAATAAATAAAGGCTCATCTATACAAAGGTGGAATGCTTAACTAGCAGCTATCACACTCTTAAAATTCTGACATCTTTTAGAAATTTTATTCATTAGATGCTTGGCTTAACTGATACATAAACTAAACAAATTTCACATTTTAGCAGCTTCTCAACACCATGCCTTTTTTTTTTTTCTCTTTCCTTTTTTTAACTATATTTTTGACAATCTTTACATAGTTAATTAGGGTAAAAAGATTCAAGGGCTACAGGAAAGTAGGAAAGACTATTATTTCTACATTGTTTCCTTCATGTATCTGAAGTAAAGGGGGATATTAAGTGAGAAGCCCAACCCAGTCTCCCACCGACCCCAGGGCCCCAATGTTGGACATGCTCTGAGGGTCTTGCTCAGGTGGCTTTGATAGTTCAACAGTTATGAATCGTCGCCAATCTCGCCATTCCAAGCACTATGAGGTCTTTGAAGAATCCACAGATCGACATAGTCTATCCTAGAGTCTCCGTTTGCCCCGTATTTCACTGCCAACATATAACTGAGATGGTTGACTGACCTGTTCTGTCCTCTGTCCTTTCATGGTTAGGGTTCTGAGTCCGGTATTTCGATTGGGGAGATCCCCAAAGAGACTTTGAGGTGTTCTCAGACCAGATTCTTGTATGTACTAGCAAGTACAGGGCCCAGCACAGTTCATCTCCCCAACTAGCCAGCGGCTGCAATTGCAGGGTTGGCTCTGCCCCCAGCGCTGTCTTCCACATGAACCAGTGGGTGTTGCAGTCCCTCCTGGTTCCGCCCAGGACACACTTGGCCCCAACATAAACCACTGGGAGCTGCAGCCCAGCTGGAGTGAAGCACGATAATCCCAACCAGGCCCGCCCCCATCCTGGTTTGCCAGTATGTGTAGCAGACTAGTCCACTCTGTCCCACATCCCATTCAGCTATATGTCAACCCATGAGCCGGACTATCCATCCCACACACATGCTATTGGGTGCCTTTCAGTTTAGCCACCCCAAACCCTGTCCTGGTTTTCATGCCCTCCAGTGGGGGTGGTAACCCAAGAGGGAGGAACTATTTCCTTTCTAGGCCACTCCCACTCCTGGATCATGCACTCTCCAGGTGCTTCTGCAGCTTAACTTGACAGACTTAGCGCCCTTTGCCAGCATCTGCCAGCTGATACTGTGGCAAAGCAAAACCCAACCAACCCTCACCGACTGATTTTTGCTTACACCAGTAGGAATAGTCAGTCCAACCTGGCTTTTCCCTGATTTAGCTCACATGAGGTGCACAGGTGTTGCAGTCCTGCCTAGTCTGGTCTGCCCCATCCCAGCTCACGGTCTCCAGTGGGAGTAGACACCCAGCAGGGGAGCACCCCTTTACTCCCCCTGCCAGCTCCGCCCCCCTCTCCTGGTTCTCACATGTGCTGGATGGGCGCTGCGGGTACAACCAGTGCAGGTAACCTCACCTTGGCATTCCATAATGTGCGCTGGTTTTTGTCATGATTGAACCTGGCTCGACCCAGTTTGCCAGCGGGTGATGTGAACTGGGTCAGCCTGGTCTGCCCCTGACCCATGCCAAATGTATGCCAGTGGGAAACTTTCCATGGCCTGTTCTGGGCTGTTTCCTTCCATGCTTCTTGAGCTTACCTGCAGGGTCTGTGTCCTTCTCTGGCAGGACACAGGCTACTCAATCAGAACCTCTCTCAATGCCAGATTTCGCACATACCAGGGGTTCCATGAGCCAGTCCTATTCAGTTCACCTATTGTCCTAGCAGGAACAGTGGCTTTTTCTGACTGGCCTTCAACCCAATGTGGTTCTTACTGTTGGATGTTTCAGCCCAGCCATGGCTCGTCCATACCCACATACTGCTCACACATAGCTCAGTAGGGGCAGAGACCTAGCCTAGTCCATCCCACATCTACCCTGGTCCTCCAGAGCACCAGATGGTGTTGGAGTCTAGCCCGGCTTGGTGCGTCCAGTCCCAGTCCACACTTGTGCCAAAGGAGAAACAATCATATCCTAATCAGAACGCAGCCCTGATTCCAGCTCCATGCTCCTTGGTGGGAACCCCCACCCAGCTAGGGTATTCCCTTAGTTCCCGAACCAGGCCTGTTCCCAGCCATAGATCACGTGCATGCCAGTGGTTGCTGTGAATCAGTTTGGCACAGCCCCTCACCTGTCCTGGCCCTAGCCTTACAAACTGAGGCCATGCCTTCTAATTTTAATTTCTTCATATTCCAATGACTTCCTATCAGATTTAAGCCAGAGTCGATTAGCTGACATTTTATTACTTTTCAAGTTATACTAACTTAGAACACATGGACAGATTTCTTTTTTTTAAGATTTATTTATTTTTATTGCAAAGTCAGATATACAGAGGAGAAACAGAGAGAAAGATCCTCCATCTGATGATTCACTCCCCAAGTGGTCGGAATGGACGGTGCTGCACTGATCTGAAGCCAGGAGCCAGGAACTATTTTCCAGGTCTCCCACACAGGTGCAGAGTCCCAAGGCCTTGGGCTGTCCCTGACTGCTTTCCCAGGCCACAAGCAGGGAGCTGAATGGTAAGTGGAGCTGCCGGGATTAGAACTGGTGCCCATATGGGATCCTGATGCATTCAAGGCGAGGACTTTTGGGGCTAGGCCACGGCACTGGGCCCACAGATGTCCTAAATAACTAAGTATTAGGTCTCTGTTATACAAACTCAGTATTTGAAACTGTTCAATTAAGTCAATCCCACTGGTGGCAATTTAAACTGTGAAAATGTCACATGGGCTGTGAAATGGTGAAGAGCCCTACAAAAATTAAGTGCTTTCATTAAGTTCCCTAACTGGTTTCTAGGACTTGGACCCAAAATAGAAAAAAATTACAACTTAAACCAATACCAATAAAAAGCACATTAACGTTTTATTACAAGTGAAGTTTAAATCCAGGAAAAAAGCCGCAACTAATGGATGGCAAACAAAAACATCACTGTGGAGTAGGACTAACATGATAGGAACTGAATCTGTGGAACTGATCATTTAATGTCTGAAGATTAGGTGGTGAAATAAATAGGAAAGTAGGATGGGAAAGAGTGGTAGTAAATATTTCTACACTCACTTGGAAAAAATGGACGACCGTGAAACTATGACAACCAACAACAAAAGCTGTGGTTTAACTTACAAAATTGAAAAACTCAAAGTTCATACAAAACAAGATTTCATAAACTGACTTTCTGATAATCCAAAATGTTTACATAAAATTGAATTTATGCAATATATCAAATTTAGAAGTCAAGTGATTTCTAGTATGCATAAAGTTTACATCTAGAAACTTTTTAGAATATTTAGAAAGTGCATAATAGGCATAAAACAGCTTATCAAAATCTTTTTAGAACTCAGCATATTCTCACTTCAAATAATCTAAAATCTAACAAAACATAAGCTGAATCAAATTTTTATAATTTTTGACAAGATAAAAACATCAAATATCTAAAATTTTGAAAATACAGACTCATGTAACTCAAACCAAAAGTACTGACTGACCATTGGTTTTCCTCAGAATGCTCTTTTCAAATAAAAGAAAATATACAGTTTTCTAGCTTTGAAGAAACATGTTCTGTCATTAAAAAAATTACCTATAAAGGAATATATTAATGAAGAAATAGCAAAATTATTATTTAGTACCTAAATTTCATAGGCAGAACTATGAAGTTTCTTAGTTTTATACAAGTTGATGGTGTTCACAAACAGCAACATTCTTGGGCCTCTACTATTATGGATTCTGCCTAAATTTGGGGGTGAGGGAATAAAAAAAATCCCATAAATTAAACGAAATCATGTAAACCACAGATTCTCAGTAAATGAAGGGCAATTCTGAAATGTAAAATAAAATTAAAATTAAGGCAGCTTTAAAATAAAACTTATCAACCCAAAACAGTGCTACCCTAGTATCATTCACTCTGTCAAAGTCTAAATGTGTAGTTGAGACATAAAAACTAAAAATCAAAAACAAGCATTGCAGTTATGACACAGAATCGGGTGCTTTTACTTTAATGAATAGAAAAAATAGTGGTCACAACTTGGATGAATGTGAATTCAGTATCAATGTATGCACCTTAAAGAATTATTTATACTTTATTGCCAAAGACATCTTAGCAATTCCATATTCCTCACAAAATCAGTATAACTGCTGTAAGAAAATCAACTGTGGTTCTGAATACCCATTCACGGCAGACCTCAACAAAGTGTCTGATGTAGGGGACTGGTTGTCTGCGACAGGCAGCAGCATGTGGTGATCTTCAGTGCTAAGTGGAAGAGCCAGGGGTAAAGTAACATCAGAAGGCTTCACATCCAGAGCTTCTGACAATGGACTTTTCTGTATGGACTCCTGTTCACTCAGAGTATGATCTACATTGGCATCCAGAGTTTTATCTGCACCTGAAATGGAAAGGAAGAAAAAAGTATGTTATTTTTACAAAACAAACTCCTGAGATAATCTACTTAGCATCCCAGGATTTGTATCCGAACCTAAATACCTTTAGCTCAGCTGTTTCTCTTTTCATATTCTTTCCTCACCATCTAAACACACACTCTGAGTCTCAACGATAGGCTCAAGCACCCATTCTATTACCGAAACCAGACTGAGCATCACACTTGTCAAGTTTTGTACACTTCTTGCATCTATTGCTGCTACTTTGAAGTTTTACTCAGGGATGCCTTGAATTCTAAAACCTTCAACTAGAGAGTAAATTTCTGGAGGGTAAATTACTGTCAAGTTATATTTCTCTCATTTCTCCAAAGTATGGAATGGTGATATGCCATTATACTCTATCTCATAGTTAACAGATGTTGTAATGAGTTCATACTATTCTGTGACTTCAAATTCCTACGTATGACTCATATTTTTAGGTAAGACATTCTGCTCAGAGTCACCATAATGACTCAAGATACACTGTCTCCAAATTTCCTACTAGGTTAACACGCTCCTAGCATTCCAAAGTGCTGACACGGTGTCAATTTCATTATCCTTATTGAACAGACAAAATGGTATTTATTCTGATAAAACTGCAAATTCCCTGTATTACAAACCCTGTATTCTTTTGCTCCCCAGCTCAACCAGCCAGAAAAACAGTCTGTGCTTTTTCATCCCAGTGTCTCTTCACAAGGTTTTCTGCTTAGAAGGAACACTCTTCTCTCCACCTCTATCCTTCCTTCTCTACCCTGAAAGTTCCCTAAAATTAAATCCCTTTCAGTATCCAGCTTCTCTCACTTCTCCAAAGAAAAATTTAGTATTTCTTTGGTATTTTGTGTTTATTATGTCCGATGTTATAGTTACTAACTCAGACTTTTGGCAACTATGCCAAGTAGTAAGCTCTTTGAGGACCAAGCCTCTGCCTGTGTTCTCTGTACATTTTTTAGTAAGTATTCTTTCAAGTGTTTCTTGAATGGACTCACTGCAGTTTTCACACGTTTCTAACCTAGTCCTTTTGATGATACATCCGTTTCAAGTCGTGAATACATTCATACATTAAAGAAGCCTACTATTGTGTATCATCATGACAAATAAAATGGTAAGCACTGTGAAACTTTTTCAAGGATTCTTGTTAAGCAACACACTTAGAATTCTGGAGCCTGGCTTTTCATTTTTCTGTGGAAATTTGGAACTTCCCCTTTTCTCACTTTCTCTTACACATTCCTGGACTAGTGCTTATGACGCTCGTTCTTCCTTTTACTAACTACATGAAATCCTGGGTTGTAGAGATTATCTCATGGGAGCAGTGACAGCCAGCTCATTTACAGGTTCCGCCATTCCTGAAAACTTTCGTAAGTCAGATTTTTAAAAGGAGGAAATAGTTTAAATATTTCCTATTAGAAGTTCAACATGAAAAAAAATTCAGAGCATTTTTTTACTTTCTTTATGCCTATATAGTGACATAATTCAAACTGTTAAAATGCACATCTGAGCATTTTAAGGGATAGCACCAATATGACAGCAACAAATTGTAAAAATAACAAGCAATTACCAGAATGGACTTTGGTTTTGTGCTTCTTTAAATTTTTGATATCTGTGTAAGAATTTCCACATAATTCACAGATAAATGGTCTTTCTCCTGGGGGAAAAAAAAAGTTTAAAACCTCAATATTTGAAAAAATGCTAATTATAACAAAAATATTAATGTTTCTAATACAAGAAAAAAAATCTATTTTTTGTATTTGGTTTCAAATGCTTGTTTTAATTATTTGGTTGTAACAAATGAAAAGTTGTATTACATATAGGCACCAATTTTACAGAAAATGCAACCCTATTTCAAGAAAATTTAGCAATCTTATTAATAAAAATTATTTTATGAACTTAAGAAACCCTGTCTTATACCATATTTTGGCTAAGATAGAAAAGTGGGGGAGAAGCCCAATGGTAAACTTGAAATTAGAAAATTCTTTCAAAAACACCGACAGTGTGCTACTATCATATAACCTTTAAAATAAGGGCTGTTCAATGTTTTATAAGTAAATTAAATAGGATGAACATACAGATAGAACTTCCCAACATATTTATTAAATGTCTATTAATATATTCATTAAATTTAGGTAGAAATTGTTAGGAAGAATTTTGAAACAGAACATTACACTTTCAGTGAAATTCTTAAAGAATTTTAAATTCTTTTCTTCATATTACTTACAAACAACTTCTCAAAACAAACATGTCAATAATAGACTTCATTCCTAAAACTTGTATACTAACCATTATTTACCAAGAAATCTGATCTTAGTATCACCTATCTCCTTTAATTTCCTGGTGAAATCTGTGTGCAATTTAGTTCAAAACATTGAAAAACTTATCTGTTAAAAACTTATCTGGTATATTTTCTGAAAAAGCTGTACAATTTTTGACCAAATTTAACATTCTGATTTTAAAAAGAAAAACTAAAACAAGAAATGAAAAGTTTATTTGTATACATTAAAATATTGTTACAGGTAGAGTACGACTAGATACTAGTCCATAATGGCTTAAAAGTCAAGGCTTACATAAAAAGAAACTGAGAGAACAAAAAAAATCCACGTTCTCCCGTAACACAGACCTGTATGGGATCGAAAGTGTTTGTTGAGCTCTCCTGAGGAAATAAAACTTTTCCCACAAATACCACATATGTATGGTTTTTCACCTAGATGGAAAATAAAAGCGAAGTGGTGTACTATACCAATAAAATATTTGTCAATTACAAATAATCTAAAGTAAGCTCTCCTAAAATATTGTTTATAAACCTCCTTATGTTATATTCTAGTGACTCAGTTTAAAATGAATATTATCTTACACTGTTTATATAACCTGACACTTTTCACACATTCAAATTTCATTACTACAAATATACCTTTTACTAAAGATGAAATGAGTAAGGAGTTAGGTTCTATATGATTTATGCGTGTAACCCAGCAGTCTGTATTTCATTTCTTGTTCTCCACTATATTAACAAAGGAAATTATGAGCATTTAGGGATGACTGCATTAAACATGTACCTAGAAAGAATGACTAACAGAAGTTTGCTTCAAAACTAATACTATGTATATGATCTCAGAATGTCTGTGCAGAAAACATCCGAAGTTGTAAAAGAAATGTTCTACCTAAACCCACTCCTTGCTCTACCCCGTAACATTACTCTAAGCTTTCATACGAAGAAATAAACCTTCAAAATGCTGACGTCTCCTAAAGCCATAGAACATATCTTTAAGCTCATATATAATTAAAATCTTCCTACTCACTTATATATAAGAAAATCAGACATGGATTTGCGAAAAACACAGATTATCTGACTACAAACTCTATAATCCTACTTTTGGTAAAAACCCAATTCCCCTTTTATTTTTAACCTTTCTTATGTTAACCAGTCTTTTCTCAAACTAACTCTTACCTGTATGTTTTCGAGAATGAGTGATTAGGGAACTAGAGACAGCAAATGCCTTCCCACAGGTGTCACACACATAAGGCTTTTCGCCAGTATGCCTGCGGACATGATAGGTGAGTGTGCTGGCTTGAGCAAATCTCTGTCCACACCTATCACAGACATATGGCTTCTCTCCACTATGCTTCCTGTTAGTAAATAAAGTTATATTCTGGTGAGTGACAAAATTTGGAGGTTAATTTATTTGGCAAACATTTTTCACAAAGGATTTTATTTCACTTCATCTTAGCAGGCCAGGACTACAAGATCAACAACAGTTAATGTACACTAACACACATAAATTTATTATCAAAACATCAGTTCTGAGTCAGAGATGGGCTCAAAAAATTTGGCCATAAACTTTATATGGTTGTCACTGGGCTGCTAATACTGTATGCAACTCTTTTTGTTAGTTCATTCTCTGTCACATTTGTCAAAACTTTTTCCTTGAAACTATTGGAACCTCCTTACCCATTTTTAACTCTCTGTTCATATCCTTTCCTATTTCCTCCAGAAAAATTTAAGAAATCACCAGAAAATTTCCACCATTACAATTCTCCACTTACAGGGACTTATGATTTGCCTTTTCTTGGATTAAGTTGATTGTGAGATTGACAATTCATCTGAATCCGATGACTCCATTTGCATAGTATTTGATAGTCTACTCAATGACACTACTCCTACTTTTTCCCTCATCCTACATCATCTATTTTTCATATTCTACCGAATCACAACATGTAAATATACTGACGGCTCCCACCTTTCAAATAAATAACAAAGAAGATCCCTGAAAAACACTTGCTCTGCCAGCTCTCTGCTTTCCTATACCAAACAGATTCCTAACACTCCTCTTCTACTCTTTCTCATCTCTGCTAACAATGCTTCTGTCAAGAGTGTGCCCACCTCTGAACTTCTTCAGACAAATCTGAGTCTTCCCCACTCTCCCCACCAGAATTCTATACAAGTGATCTGATTACCTCATCTGGATTCCAGGGCAGCATGCTTACCTAGGTTTCCCATTTTAGCTGCCCCTTTCTAGTCACCTCTGCTGATTCTTGCTCATCTCCCACACTCTTAAGATTACAGGGCCTCGGGACTAGGGCCTTCGATTTATTTCTATTCATTTTCTTAGTGATCTTAGTGTTTCAGCTTTAAGTAATACAACATGGTAATGAATGATAAATTTGTATCTTGACTCGGATTAGTCCCTCAGTTCTAGACTTAGATAACCAACTGTTTATTGCACAACTCTGTTCAGAGGTGCAACACTAACCTCAAACTTAACATGTATTCTGTTTTTCTGTAACCTTCTCTATTCAAGGACAACTTCATCTTTTAGGTGCTCAGGCCCAAATCTTATTATTATCATCTTTGACTCTTCTTTGTTTCATACCCCATATCCAAGCTGTTGGTAAAATCTGTTAAACTGCCTTTAAAATATATCCTGCCACTTGTATTTTCCACTGCTAGCACCCGTGCCTGAACTACCATCACTCTCACTTGAGTATTTTCTCTGGGTTCTTAATTGGCCATCCTGCTTCTACTCCTGCAATCCAACCTGTAATCTCCTAATTTAGCAGCCAGAATGTATTCTGAAATACAAGCAGGATCGCATCACACAATCCTCCGTCTCAATCATGAATCAATCCTATAAACCCTAATTACATTATTACTGTATTCCGACCAGTTTCCCCTTTGCTTTTTCGTCTCCAACTATGGCGTCCCCTTGTAGTTCCTTGATTGCATTAAGAATACTGCATGGTGGAATCGCAATTAGAACTGCAGTTCTGAATTTGAATGTTAACAGTAATAAAACAATGGTGATTAACAAGACTAAGAGATGAAGCAATTCACTTTTTACCTTGCATGAATCTTGAGATTACTAGAAGTTGCAAACTGTAAATTGCACACATCACATTTATAGGGTTTTTCCTCTCCATGATGCATGCGGCTATGGAAGACTAGCTGGCATTTCTGAGCAAATCCTTTATCACACAGTTCACATTTGTATGGCTTTTCACCTAAAGGCACAAGCAAACATAACTTCAGCTAGAAGAAAATACTCTGTTTTAGGAGCTTAACTTATATAAGTACGCAAAAGTATTCATCAACAGTACTAGATTTGGTATTCAGAAAATGTTAAATGCTGAAAGTAGAAACAAATGTTTCCCCACCCCCCAGTGGAAAATATTACTAGAATAAGTGAAATAAGTTTCTCAATTCATAATAATGAAAGGTAATCAATGGAAAAATTCATATTACATCCTAAACAATACATACAGAGTACCAATGGGTGCTCATCCTTTACCACAAGAGGACATGCAAGGGCCCAGCACGATGGCCTAGCCCCAAAAGTCTATGCCTTGAACACACCAGGAACCCTTATGGGCACCGGTTCTAATTCCGGCTGCCCCGCTTCCCATCCAGCTCCCTGCTTGTGGCCTGGGAAAGCAGTTGAGGATGGACCAAAGCTTTGGGACCCTGCACCCGCATGGGAGACCTGGAGGAAGTTCCTGACTCCTGGCTTCGGATCGGCACAGCACCGGCCACTGTGGTCACTTGGGGAGTGAATCATCAGATGGAAGATCTTCTTCTCTGTATATCTGACTTTGCAATAAAAATAAACAAATCTTTAAAAAAAAAAAAAGAAGACATGCAACATAAAGGTAACTATGGAATGTATGAAACATACAATGAGATGTTAGCAACATTTGAAAACTGGCTGGAATTGTAACAGCATCTTTATCTTAACAAATTTTTGTCTGTCAAATACTTAAGCTTATCTGGAGTAAAAATGGCAAAAGTTAATTTAATATCAGTTTTAATAATAAGCAGCCATCAAATACTTATGCCTATCAATACATTTTAACAGTGCAACTTTTTTTTTTTTAAGATTTATTCACTTTTATTGTAAAGACAAATTTACAGAGAAGGAAAGACAGAAAGATCTTCCACCTGCCAGTTCACTCCCCAAATGACCGGCATAGCTGGAGCTAAGCCAATTCAGAGCCAGGAGCTTCTTCAGGTCTCCAACGTGGGTGCAGGCTCCCAAGGCTTTGAGTCATTCTCCACTGTTTTCCCCAGGCCATAAAGCTGGGAGCTTGATGGGAAGTGGGGCAGCTGGGACACAAGCAGATACCCATATGGAATGGCACTGGCCCCTCTAACACTTCTGAGTTACTTTTATGAATTAATATACCAAACTTTGGTTAGCTATTATTTGTGATCAGTAATTGTGCTCATATGTTCTCTGTAAGAAAACGTGGTAGTCAAAGCAGGAAAGCAATTTGTCCACAAAGCAGTCTTACCTGTATGAGTTCTTACATGTGTTTTCAGCTGGTTACACTGGGTAAAGGCCTTTCCACATAAATGGCAGACATAAGGTTTGACTCCTTTATGTATTCTCATGTGCCTTCTCAAGCTACTGGCTTCTGAAAACACCTTCCCACAGGTATTACACACTGGCTTGGCCTTGGAGTACCTCTGATCCAGCTCTTCCCTGGAGTCCTCCAGCATGTAAGGACTCCTGACACTGGCTATATTAGACAGAGAGTGTTCTTTTAGGGCACAGTTTGGCTCGGATTTTCCACGTTTCTGTTTCACTGTAACAGTTTGTACAACAGTATCTTGTGTAGGGAAAGAATTTTCCACGACAGATGTCAATTCAAGCTCTGAACTATCATTTCTTTGTGCAACTTGTTCTACCACAGGTGAGGACAATTTATTTGTATCTAAGAATAATTCAACAGATGCATTCTCTAAAATGTCACTGGGATATTGCACAGTTTTATTCAGCCTTGTTTTCTGAGAGGTGAAAGTCTTCTTCTTTTTAGTTTGAGATGACTTCTTAGGTAATGTTCCTTGTTTAGGTTCTGACTGAACTATATCTGTAGACACTTCTGATTTCTCTCGATTGTTATAATCTCGTAGAGTAAGAAGACAAGTCTGTTGGTTCAATTCAATATTTCCAGTAATACTAGATATCTCTGTAGAAGAGGGATTAGCAATAAAAGCAAAATCTTCCATCTTTATTTTACATTTGGTGACCACCTCTTCTACTTTGAGAAAGTCAGCAGCCTGATGAATTTCTTTAACATTCCAACTGTAAGGAAACAAGGTGACTAAATGAAAATATTCCCATCAGAGTAAACTTATTGAAATAAAGCTGTACATACGCTTTAGGACCTTTCAGAGACTTAATTATGCAAAATACTAGAAAAGGCATAAATAAAAAAACCAATTTACAAAATTCATTCCTTCAAAGTAATGTTTAGGACAAAGTCTCCCATGTTGGTTATAGAACCTGAAGAGATGAAAATAATGATAATAAAAATAATTACAGATGCCAGTGCAATATGAAAACAAAAGCCTAAAATAGAAATAGATGTTGGCACCTCACTGCCTCTTCCCATTCACCACAAGACCTCTTCAGAGATGAATTGATTGTTTTGGTTTTCTGATGGGACGTGAGACTGTGTATATTGTATATTTCTTATATTTTCCCTGGTGATACTAACGCTGTTGGCTCATGGCTCCCATTTGGAGGAGCAGGTTGCAAAATGTGTGACGCGACCTTTAGCACTTTTCCCACCTGTTTTGGTGATGCTCCCCCCAAATTAGCTGGAGAGTGTACACAATTATAGAGAAAGACTCAAATAATCTCGCTCAACACTGTCGACCATAAGTGATACAAAGTGGAGCATTAAATAGCAGCCCTTACCCTCCAAAAGTTCACAATGGAGTGAAAAGTTCATTTGATTAATGCAGCGCTGGGTGGGACATTACTAGCTCAATCAAATTCATTAGGACAAATTGACATCTCTAGGAATTTCAATTTCCTTAACTTTAAAATTAGACAGCTGAGATAGTATTAACACCTTTATTTGACTTTTTTTGTTCTTCAGTTCAGCTTAGATTAAGTAGATTTATAGGCTAATCTAAAACTTAAGCCACTAATTTAGAGAACATTTCCATAGGGCAATCTATTCTAAACATATTACAAGTAGCTTTTAGTTTATAATTTTAGGCCCCTGGATTAAGCGGATTAATTAAATGGTCTTTGGCTATCTTTACAAAAAAAAAAAAAAACAAAGGATTTCTGTAATGAAGTTATTTAATTGCCACCCCCCTAAAAACAGTACAAATGCCACAAACATAAAAAGCCTTAGTCACCTTTTATGCAATATGATCATCTCTCCAAAACATTAATTTTGTAAGTATTCTATTTGATTTTGTTAATCTATTCTTTAAAAGTACAATAAAAGTGAGACCACTAGAATACAGTCCAAATTTACATCATCACTTTCTAAATTTAACTAAAACAGATCTTCTGACCTCCCTGTGATTGTGCTCAGTATTCTGTAACAAGGCACTAGGTCCACTAGGCTAGAACAACATAAACTAGCACAGCGCTAACCACTGCTCAACACTGAAACAGTAATTCATACAATTTCACAGCCAACCTGTAATTTCAGTCAATAGAAACAACAAGCATTAGTTTATCCGAATAATTGATCAGCTTTTATTCATAAGCATTAAGTGACTGTGCTTGCAAACTTAAGTTCCTCATCTGAACAGTCACGGAAGGTCACTTAATTACATTTGTGGCTGTACTCAATTAGCTTCCAGGAAAGACAGTTGCCTAGAAGGCTAACCCAAGCACCTGCTCTGTTTCACGCTGATGCTGTGCATGAAGGCTCTCTAATGGTGCTCTCTGGGTGTTCATATCAATGGAAGAAATTTTGTTGACAGAAAATAACTGAAAAAGGAAAAACACTGAATTGAGATCACCTGGGAAAGAATTAATGACTAGATATCAAATGTTAACAGCAATCACCAAGGGGAGACAGAATTCTAGGTGCTGTCCTTTTTTTCTCCTAAGCCTTTTCTTAAGAAGGAAACAGCAGAAAACACAAAGGAAGGAAAAGTAACATCTATCTGCAGGTGAGCCTTCAAGTAAACACATAATCTACACAGAGACATCAAGGCTATCACCTCATTTTTATAGCTAAGGAAACAGGTTGGGAGGCTGCATCTTGCTCAAGGAGACAGGCAACACCTAATCCTGAAGCCCACAAATCTTTTCCTATGATCAGAAGCCTATCAAACAGTCTATGCCTTTTATTAGGAATGGAGGAAAGCTGAAGGGGCCATTTTATGTTTCTTTTGTTTTTAACCCTACAATAAGCAAGTCCATTGCAACTAATCTATTTGAACCATCATATAGGGCAGGCGCAAAATGCCTGTATCAGGACCCAGTGCAGCAGCCTAGCAGCTGAAATCCTCGTTTTACATGCATCAGGATCCTGTGGGTGCTGGTCCGTCTCATGGCTGCCCCAATTCCTATCCGGCTCTGTGCTTGTGGTCTGAGAAAGCAGTGGAGGCAAGCCCAAAGCCTTGAGACCCTGAACCTGTGCAGGGGATCTGGAAGAAGTTCCTGGCTTCGGATTGCCTTAGCTCTGGCTGTTGTGGCCACCTGAAGAGTGAATCTGCAGACAGATGTTTCTGTCTCTCCTTCTCTCTGTAAAATGTGACTTTTCTATAAGTCAATAAATTTTTAAAGTGCCTGTATTAACAGAATTCTAGAATTTTCCTCGTTAACACAGTAATAGCAATAAATATCTTAAAGCTGTATTCTAGTACCTCCAACCAGACTGAAGCATTAGTACTAGTACTAGTAGTTCTAGCAGCTAAAAGGGTTGCTGCTGTCTTCCAGACTGGAGCTCAGAACAGTACCCTGAACACTGTTATTTAGAGTTAGCTGGTAAGAAGAGCACTCCAAGTGTAGGAGCAGAGGGGCTGCCTTCTTTTCCTAGCTACACTCCAAACACCTTTAGAGGGAGGGGACAGGGAGAGAGAATGGAAACCAAGGGAATACAAAGACCAGAAAGCAAAAGCAGACTGTCATTCACCTAGAATTCACAACTGAAACCACCAGGTTTTGTTTCAATGGACATATCAGGATCTTATTAATATGGGATTTTCTGCTTATGAAATGTCTCTTCACCTCAGATACCGACACCTTCATTGAAGTAAGCACTATGCATAAATATTTAAAAGACTCCCGAGTTCAGAGAACGCATGCAAATGCGAAAAATCCCACAAATCTTTAGCTCTTAATACTACTGACTAGCTGCTGTAACTGGAAATAAAACAAACGTTACCTGTCAAGATTTAAAGTTCCTGTGTATATAAACTCCAACAGCTTCTGAAATCCATCAGCCTTCACCTGACTCTGGTCAAGAAAGACATTGTTTTCAGATGTGCTTCTGTAGATCGCACCAAAATACTCACTAAAAGATGCCAGCACATTCCTGTGGGCCTTAAACTGGAATTCCCCGATCACTATGGTGCAGTCGCAAAGAAAGCCTGCTTCTCGTTGTTTGTTCAGTCTCTCTAGAAGATGCTCACAGTGGTGCGAATACTGCATTTTGATACCAGAAAGGAATTTTATTCTTGATCTAAAGACAAAAGAAAATAGGAAATAAGCATAAAGTACAAACGCACAAGACATGAGTAGGAATGAAAACAGACAGAAGGATCAAGTTAGCTTTCAATGTGCCGCCCCTGTAAATCCTTTTCAAAAACACACGATTAAATATATCAACTGCCTTTCCCTCTGTGTTATATTAGACAGATAACGCCAGTCCTTCGGACACCGTAATTAATATCGATGAATGTAAACATACATGCAGACACTAAAACAAGGGCCAAAAAATCTCCCATCTTTTCTTCAGTGGAACCCAGACTTTGAAGCTCAATGAACACGTGTGCTGGGAGGGAGGGGGGGTAATAACAACCGCTAAGAAATGATTCCTCGGGACAGCAAAGGGAAGGACACAAGATTAGTTTTAGAAATTCGATCTCCAAACTCCGAGAGCCGTAGGTTTGCGCGGGGCAGTCTCCCACGGGCTGTCCAAGGTGCTATCCCTGCACCCCGGGAGGACACACCTCTCTCTTTCCTCCCTCCCGGCTCCCGCAATCCTGTCCCGCCCCGCCCGCCGCCAGCTCCCACTCCGCGACTTCCCACGGCAGAGGTTGTGGCCAAGGCCACCACCGGACTGCTTGGCCCACGTCTGCCCGCCATCGACCCACTCGATCTCCAGGAAGCCGTCACTTCCAAGCACCCTGGATCCGGGGAGGTCAGGGATGGAGGGCTAGGAGTGAAATCGGAACTCACCCAGAGGAACCCGAAAGGGAACACAGTTTCCTCACTCTGTCTCCGCCATCTTGGGAAGACGTCACGGCGTTGCGCTCCGCCTCTCATTTCGTCCTCCATGGCGGCGTCACGTCCGGCAGCAGCGCGGGAAGCTCTGGGACGGTGGAAGTCCCACGGCGCCAGGCTGGTCCACCGGCCTCCTCGCCGGCAACAGCGGGCGTCATACAACCGGGAGCTAGCGCCTATGTCACAGCACCCGACTCGTGTTCCTCCTTCTGAGCATTCGGGCGAGGCCACAGTCCACACCTCACGCTCACACGGGCTTCCGGGGCGAGGACGGGGTAGCGCCGCACCCTGGGCCGGGCGGTACACTGCATGCCGGGACTTGTAGTCTCTCGCAGGTAATGTCATCTCCCGTCGCCACCCTAGCTCCTCCTCGGCGCGTTGCATGCTGGGACCTGTAGTCTCCTCTCCCGCCTCCCCCTCCCCCGCCGCTTCTTCGGGAATGCACCCGTGGGAGTTGCTGATCTGTGTGCTCGGGCTCCCTTCCGATGTGAGACGCACCACCCCTCTTCCCTTTACCTACCCGAGAGCTCTTGGTGCCCCTTTGATGTTGGCACTGGCCAAGGGTAGATGAGTTTCCAGGACAGCCTCACCTGGCGGTGGGATCTGAGAGGAATGAAACCCACGCGACCCAACAGGGCATGCGCAGCCTCGGAGAAGGTGGGCTTTGGACCGGAAAAGGCTTTCCGGCTAGTGGACCGGAGTGCTTTTAATACGATTTTAATACCTTTGGGCTGGCTTCCGCAGGCTGTATCCTCACATTATTTACATTTAGTGAGGAAAAAGATGCCTTTCGTGTCTGCCAGGTGCAGCAGTATCAGAAACAAGTCTCGTTAGAGTCGACTGCTTTTCCCGCTGTTGGACGTCATAATTATCAAAAACCCAGTGCCTCACTGTTTACACTATGTTTTGATACGTAAGGTATTTAGCCGTGACTATTTTGGATAAAAACTTGAATTTATCGTCTTCTCTTTTTTGAGACTCACCCCTCTCCGAGGCAGACACACACTGTCGCCTTGCTGTCTTCCTAGTAAACAATAAAAAAATAAAACCCACATCCGTAATGTTCACAAGGAAAATTTTGAGTCTGGATTTTCTCTTTCCGGGTGCATGTGATTTTCTCTGTGAGCCCCCCTGATCAGAGATGTAGCCATGACGTGGAGGGCACACACACACACACACACACACACACACACACACACACAGTGTAAGAGGTGGTCTCCTGGGCGTTTGCTGAGCAATGCGGAAATGTGACAGGTGTAGCACAAGGTGTGTGCTTGCCTCCGTTTTTCGTTTTATAGCCCCATTTTCACGAGTAGCCTGATCAAAACAATTGTTTCCGCCCGGTTTCGAACTGGGGACCTTTCGCGTGTTAGGCGAACGTGATAACCACTACACTACGGAAACCTAGCTGGTGCTCCCCTCTCAGAAAGTCTCTTAGAAAGACCCTTAGAATGTACATAAAACTTCAACTGCAAGAAACAATAGTATGTCCTACTTTGCTTCGAAAGTGTGAATTCGAGTGCTCTGTGGAAATCTGGGTGCTGCAGTACACACCAGGACAGCAGTGCCTGAATGACCGCCTGCGCCGCTCAGCCTGGAGGGCCATGGCAGGGTATGGGAGCGGCGTCTGGCTCCAGGGAGCGTGGTTGACTTTAGCATCTGAAGAAGTGCCGATCTCTGTGCCTGTTTTATTGGACTCCTGAAGGGTGTGCGGAATCAGAGGCTTTTGGAAACTCAGAGAGGTTTTTTTTCCCCCTTTTGAATTTCCTATGATCTATGAGCTCTCGTTTTCCCTGCAAAGAAAGAGGGAGACATTCTGTTGGGGTTTTTAAAAAAAATGTTAGGGAATGAGAAGTTTTCGGACTAGAGCGAGAGATTTCAATGTAGTGAAGTGTACCACCCGAACGCTCCTCCCCTGTCCACACTTATCATCCATCCCTCCTGGGTTCTCGGGTCGGATAGAGCCGGTGAAGTAGAAGGCTTTAGGAAAGGTGACTGTGTCTGCGCCTCTTCGGGATGTACTAGCCATGCGCTTTTTGTGGTGACTGAGGGAGGAAAGGTCGGTTTCCCCTATGTGATGTTCCGGACTCCGAGGCTGAGGCGGCAGCCCCGCCGGGGGCTGGGCGCCCAGGGCCCAGTGCTCTGCCCTGCTCCGGCACTGGCCGCGCGTGGCCTCTGTGACGCGGTGTTCCGGGCACGCGCCCCCCTCACCGTCCGACTGAGCGGCCTGCCGGCCGAGACGGCGGCATGATGAACTTCGACCACCTCCCCGTGGTGATCGACAACGGCTCCGGAGTGATCAAAGCGGGCATGGCCGGGAGTCGGGAGCCCCAGTTTGTCTACCCCAACATTGTGGGCCGCGCTAAAGCCCAGAACTGGGCTGCCGATGGCGCGCAAGAGCTGTGTGTTGGCGACCAGGCGCAGGACCGCAGGAGCGCGCTGTCCATCAGGTACTGAGTCCCGCAGTGGGACCCGTGAGGGAGACTGGCCAGGAAGCAGCCTCTCCGGACAGCGGGGGTCTCAGGCACCAACACAGGGTCTGCGGGGCGGGGGCCACTACCTCTATTGACAAAACGTTATCTCCAGAAGTGTTCAAACAGAAATGAAGGTCACACAGTGAAGGATGTAACCTCCCTCGCAATACCTATTGACACTTGAGTTTTTCTCTTAAATTGAGATAAACTGTAATGTAGGAAGTGACCAGTTTAAAAAGAGAGAAAGAAAGAGAGAAAGAAAGAAACAGAAATAGAAAGAAAGAAAGAAAAAGAAAGAAAAGAAAGAAAGAAAGAAAGAGAAATTAAAGAGAAAGAAAGGGCCAGCATTGTAGCCTAGCTGATAAAGTGGATTGGAGTGCTGGCTGCTCTGCTTCCTATCCAGCGCCCTGCCATTGTGCCTGGGCAAGCAGCAGATGATGATCCAAGTGCTTGGATCCCTGTACACACATGGGAGAAAGGGATGGAGTCCCAGGCTCCTGGCTTTGTTATGACCCAGTTCTGGCTGTTGCAGCCATTTCTAGAGTGAACTAGAAGATGGAAGATTCTCTCTCCCTCTGCCTTTCAAATAAAACTAAAACAGAAAAAGAAAAAAAAAAACCCTGAAAAAATAGATGTTTCCCTAAGGGACAGAGAATGGTAAACAATAGATAATCAAATGAGAAAATAGCTCTGCTAGGTTTTGCACTGCTA